TTATTAGCCAGATTGTGTCCTCCATCACTGCTTCCCTGAGATTTGATGGAGCCCTGAATGTCGATCTGACAGAGTTCCAGACCAACCTGGTGCCCTATCCTCGCATCCACTTCCCTCTGGCCACATATGCCCCTGTCATCTCTGCTGAGAAAGCCTACCATGAACAGCTTTCTGTAGCAGAGATCACCAACGCTTGCTTTGAGCCAGCCAACCAGATGGTGAAATGCGACCCTCGCCATGGTAAATACATGGCTTGCTGCCTGTTGTACCGTGGTGACGTGGTCCCCAAAGATGTCAATGCTGCCATTGCCACCATCAAGACCAAGCGCAGCATCCAGTTTGTGGACTGGTGCCCCACTGGCTTCAAAGTTGGCATTAATTACCAGCCTCCCACGGTGGTACCTGGTGGAGACCTGGCCAAAGTACAGCGAGCTGTGTGCATGCTGAGCAACACCACAGCCATTGCTGAGGCCTGGGCTCGCCTGGACCACAAGTTTGACCTGATGTATGCCAAGCGTGCCTTTGTTCACTGGTATGTGGGTGAGGGCATGGAGGAAGGAGAGTTTTCTGAGGCCCGTGAGGACATGGCTGCCCTTGAGAAGGATTATGAGGAGGTTGGTGTAGATTCTGTTGAAGGAGAGGGAGAGGAAGAAGGAGAGGAATACTAATTACCATTCCTTTCAGCCCTGCAGCATGTCCTCCTCAGAGCTTCAGCATTAGCTGACAGGAGTAAACAAAAGCTTTCTGATTAGATTGTCTTCACCTTCAGCTGTGATCATGTATTTTCCATGTGTTCCTGTAAGATTTTCCTATCATGTCTCAAAAGTAAAGGCTTTAAGAAAGAAAATTTGACTTCTGTGCTTTTTCTAAATTGGTTTCTCCAATTCAAGATGTGCTACACCTCCAGCTGTCTCTGCAACAGGGTTGTAATTTCAAGGATTTCATTCCTTATCTGGATATCTCTAAGGAGGGAAGGAGCACACTGATCTGGAAAAGCAGGCGAGCTGAATACTGAAACTGGTCTCACCTCAACCAGTGTTGGAATCCAGGTCCCCAGGGGGCTTGGGAAAATGTAAATTCAGATGACTCATTTTACTCATCTAATTCTTAAGATTGAGTAATTACAAATTAGGTATGAGGAGATTTTTTAATACCCTACAGATAAAACTTAACGGGGGCCTGTTAACTTACAGTGGAATATAATTTCAATGACCCTTGGACAGGTAAATAACTGGCTGGAGGAATATTCAAGCAGAAAGATAAAAAGCTGTGTTTGCCACCCTATAATGGGAGAAAATTTTGCATAGTCAGGATTCCTGGTAGAGTGCCCGGAGTAACCCATGTGCATTTGTGGAAGAGCACTGCTTTAGAAGGAGGTGAAGTGGCAACATTTGTAAAGGTAAGAGTACAGTTTATAGCACTTGGCTACATCTAAAAGACTAGAGGAGGTAGGTAAGTGGAAAGCAAATAAGAGGATTTTTTGGAGGAGGAAATGTACACTTCAAATTCGGAAAGCCCAGGGACTATTGAGACCTAAGGACATGATATAAGAGTAGGGAAGACCAAAAATTTCCCAGTTTTTTCCCTAGTCCATATATACTATAAGCTTAAATGACTGCTGTCAATTCCTGAAAGAAACAATCCATGGGTATTTTAAGAGAAGGCTATTGGGTGACACTGCAGGCCCAACCCAGCAGAACATGTAGCCAGCCACCCCACAGGTCCCAGAGAAAGGAAGATGCCAGGGCTTTAAAGCAGTGAGGGAAACCCTAACGGAATTAGTGATGACATGGAAATAGAATTTTAAGTTACTGCTGAACTCAGAGGAAGACCATCTTAAGTGATGACTGAAGAACCTCTGAAGAGTCCCTCTGTATTTTCTGCAATACAAGAGGGAAAGGTAGGAGCCTGGGAAACAGCAGCAAACCAATGCAGAGAAGAGCTCTTCAGGAAAAGCACACATTAAGTCTACAGTGTGCTGTTGGGGGGCGGGGGTGTGTGTGTGCGCGTGCGCGTTAAGGGTTCTGAGGCACAAGACAGGAAGGTAGGGTACAGAAGTCAGGGTTTCAACTGTATCTAATGTTTTGTTGTTGTTTGAGGGGGGTGTGTTTGTATTTTTAAGAAAAAAAACTAGTAAACAAGGCAGTGTTAAGATGATAGTTTGGTTGGTAGGTTTTTACAAGTTTACTATCCATTGGACAAAACTTTATGGCTTAATATATGTGTATAACTTCATGCAGTTTCTGAGGGTCAGGAATTCAGAAGTGGCTTAGCTGATGGTTCTGTCCCAGGGTTTCTTACAATATTTCAGTCAAGGTGTTGACTGAGGGTGCAATTATCTGAACGCCTGAGTGGATTGGGAGAATTCACTTCTAAGGTTGTTGGCAGGTGGCCTCAATTCTTCACCACGTGGACCTCTCCATAGAACTGCCTGAGTGTCCTTACAACATAGGAGCAGGTTTCCACCAGAAAGTGGTCCACAAGAAGGCAAGCTGAAAGCCTCAATGTCTTATGACATAACCTTGAAAGTCACAGTCATTTCTACAATATCCTATTCGTTACACATGTCAGTCCTATTCAATGCGGGAGAAACTACACAATGACAGGAGGCAAGAATCAGTGGCAGCTATACATAATACCCTCAGATTTGATATTTCTATCAAATAGAACAATGTCAATCATAATTATCCTTTTCTCCCCCTGTATGCTTGAAATATTTCATTTTTAAAAAGGGAGGAAACCTGTAGTTAGGAAGGAAGAGGTTTTTCCATTTTCTATAGCACAAATTCGAATTTCAGTGTATTTAGTTGCCTTTTAAGCTATCCTTTAGAACAGACACCTCCAAGCTACAATCCTCCTAAGCAATTCAATCCCCTTTATACCCTAATTATTTGATTGTGGATACAACTTGCTGCTCGAATTCAGTATTTCCTCTGTTTCCTCTGTTCACACTCATATAATCAAGATGATGACTATAGGTACCAGTAGTCAAAGCCTTTGGTAGCATGAGATACTAAGTTTGGGACACGAGGGCAGTGGGGGGGTATAATGGTTATAATGAAATGCTGAGGCAGCCAGGAAATGACATCTAGCATTCCTTTAGTGGTTCACTGGGATCTTATCATCTATATCCCTGCCCCAGTAGCGATCATAGTGCCTGGTAATGCTTATTGCCCACATAATGTTTCAGTGGAAGTAAAAATAAATAATTATTTCCCTCTTAGGCCAAATTCTTTATTATTCTATTGAATATAAATATTAAACTCTAGGATTTTGTAAAACATATCCACTCTCTTTCCAGGCCCAGATCTCTTTTAGCACCTCCTCAGAAGTTGAGTCCCAGGTTAGAGTGGCCTAGGAAACAGATTGAGACACTTGACTTCTTGTTTTGTCACTAGTCTAGCTCTCTGAAAATTCTGGGTCTTTTCTCCTTTAGCACTACAGATTTCCATCCTACCTTTCTTTGGGGGGGGTAGTCGGGGGAGGGGGTAAATACGGCAATTAAGTCTGGAAGGACTTGTAAGCTTATAGATGTTTGTCCAAGCTTGGGAGGTGAGGGGCAGGACACTCCAGGACTGGATAGCTTTGCTCAGCGGAACACAAAAGTCACTGCCAAGGAAGATTTTACAATTTATTTAGAAAAGAAATAGAAATAAAGCCCAAGAAGGGTTTAGTTAGAGATGGTGAGGATGATGATACTGATAATAATATTATTAACCTTGACCACGTTATCAACACCTTCAATTTATACCCACCCACTGTTTTAAAAAATTTTAACATCAGAATGCTCGAATGCCTTCACAACCCAGCATTCTGTAACCTTATCGAAGTGACCTTAAAATGGCAGAAGCCCACTGCTTCATTTTTTTTTACAGAGAACAGATTTAATTGGCAGGGAAGAAGGGAAGTGATACCTGGTTCTGCCTTATAGGATCAGGTGCTGCCAAAAAGTCAGAGGGAATCGAGGGTCTTTTGGCCCAATGGAGGACCAGAGCTATGATTTAGGGACATGCTTAGATTGAGAGGCTTGAGGGAGGGAGGAGAAAGATGCCATTTCCCCCTCCCAATCCCATCAAATTCCTGGCAAATTCCTTAATGCCCTGCAGATGGCACCACTGACAAAGAGTTCTCTGCCCAGAAGAGTCAAGCTCAGATTTGTGAACTCTGCCCTCCCTGTCACCTTGGAGCTGAGCCTAAAAGATACACCGGAATGACTGACCTGGCATTCTTGGGCTTGTCACTTTTTGTTGTGTCCATTCCTGTAGGCAGCTGAGCCTCTTGCTAGGCCACTGTGAGTCAGTCAGCCACAGGAAACCCCAGCTCTTGACTTTAGCTCCTGCCTCTAGGATGCTTCCCAGGGTGGAATGGGTTTAAAAGCATGGCCTTGGGGGTCAATGTGTAGTAATGGAGGAGCATGTTGCCTGATCAATCAGAACTCAATACTGATACAGAGTTAATAACCACCTGATGTTGTGGACATCATCCTATAATATTGACATCATTGTGTTTTGAGAGCCAGCTTCTTCCATTCTGCCAGCTGGCCCATAAACTGAAATAAATGCCCTACCCGACTCATCCCCCAACTGACCAACCCGTCTCCCAACAGACAGCCTGCTGTATGTTACTGTGCCCAACAGTGATGGAATTAAGCTCATCCCCTCATTCCTGCCTAGGGCCTTTAAACACTCTTCTCTTCTCTCTGCCTGTAATACCTTTCCCAGCCATAAATGATTCCACCACCTTTGCCCAGTTAGCTCATACTGTCTTCCTTTGATGATGAAAACCCAAGTGTCACCTCTTTAAGGCCTTGAAGACTAAGTCAGACTAGGTCAGATTCTCCATTACATATTTTCCTAGAATCTTCACCTTTTCTCTCAAAGCACCTGTCATATTTTGGAATTATATATTTGTGTGATTATATAATTAATGTATTTTCCCACACCAGATTGTATAAGCTCCACGTCTATTGTGCTTACACTGTATCATCGTACCTAGCTCAGTTGCTTACTGCATGGTTGACACTCAGTAAATAGTCTATGGATTAATTTTGAGCAAAATCAGAGATTCAAACTTTTAACTCTGAAAGTTAGAGGCGACTGCCCCTCTACTTCCTTCCCCTTTTCCCCAGGCCAAAAGATCTAACAGAGTGGACAGTGACATCAAATGGAGATGGAAGGGAAAGCTGCTGTTTTCTTCTAAAGATTCTTCATAAATAAGATCTTTTAGCCTCTCTCTGGCCCAGCTCTAGTGGCTCATGATACTAGCATCTGAACTTCTGCTGGCTCACATTAATCAAATGAATGTATGCCATGAACCAAGATGTGACCCAGCTGCTAGAACAGGCTGATGTCACCTTACACATTCCTTCTGTACAACAGTGAGCACAGCTAGGCAGGTGAGCATTCCCACTATCCTATTCACTGGTCTCTCTACTATGCACTGTTACCCAGTTCTGGGTCCCTCAAGAAGAATATGGATAGACAAGACAGTTTCCTTCCAGGAGTGAGTGGAATGGTAGGTTTCCTGGGTAAAGAACTAAGAATGTTTAGATCAGAAGAGAGACCCAGTATAGAGCTGTTGTCCAGAAATGGCATCATACTCATTCCTCAAAGCCCAGAGGGCACAGCAAAGGATGGGGAAGAACATTGCAGCTCACTTTCTAATAATTAGCTAGGACCAACAATGCACCACAGTGTCATCCATGTCATGAAGGACAAACAGGTAGAACGGAAAACTAAGATCCTTCTCCATTCCCAGAGTCTAGGATTTCACAAATTTTCCATCTATCACAATGGTTTATATATGATCCCATCTAAATCTGATTACCTCCCAAAGGTCCCACCTCTT